CCCCAAAACCCCAAAACCCCAAAACCCCACTCAGCTACTATTATTTTAATATTAGACAAAATGGATAATTTTTAAGATATTAAGTTGAAAATAAAAATAATTGAGGATATTCGTGTTGCCATTGATTCGACTCATCGACAAAGTTTAATACCTATTCTCATTAAAATTCGATAGGATGTTTTCAGTGTTTTGGTTTAACAGTTTCTGCTCTTCTGAATGCCATTGGTGCCCATCTTCTCCAGTCCATATCAACTTCTGGGTTGTTTGCTAAGATGGCATTGATCTTATTTTCGATATCCTGAGTCCATTTTTGATAAAGCTCAAGAGCCTTAAGATTCTCTAAAACTTATTCTACTCTTGAGAATCCGAGAATGCAAGTACTAATATCAGTATTTGAGATAGCCCAAGCGAGGGAAAGTTGAGCTTAGGTATAGCCGAGCTCCTTTGCTAAATCTCCAAGAGCATTCAGCTTTTGAAGAGTGGACTCTCTAGACTTTTCTCCCATCCATCTTTGCCAGATAGTATCTAATTGCTTTTGAGTGTCGTATCTGCTTCCAGTTGGGATGTTTCCATCGTTGTACTTTCCAGAAAGAATACCTCCAGCAAGTGGAGACCAGATGGTAGTGCCGTGTTTGTACTCAGAATAAAGTCTTCTATATTCCTTCTCAACCTTGTCTCTGGCAAGCATGCTGTACTATGGTTGCTCAACAATTGGCTTATGAAGTCTCAATCTCTCAGCAATTTCAACAGCTTTGGCAATTCTGTCAGCAGGCCACTCAGAGGTACCCCAGTAGAAGGCCCAGCCTTGATCGATGACATAGCTCATTGCTTTAACAGTCTCCTCAAGTGGTGTTTCATAATCTGGTCTGTGGCAGTAAAGGACATCTACGTATTCAACTTAAAGTCTCTTAAGTGAGTTTTTGGTTCCTTCAATGATGTGCTTTCTTGAGAGGAAAGTATCATTGGCACCAGTGCCACATCTGAAAATTTTGGTTGAGATAACAAGATCTTCTCTCTTTAGGTTAAGATCCTTGAAGGCTTGACCCATTTGCTGTTCAGCTGAACCATCTCCGTAGATCTCAGCAGTATCGAAGAAGTTTACGCCGTTGTCGAAGCATATCTTAATGGTGTCTTTGGCAAGTGTATAGTCCTCTGGCTTGTTTGAGGTGAGCCAGTTACCGTAGGCGAAGACTGATACCTTAAGTCCTGAATTTCCAAGGTATCTGTATTCCATGTTAATTGTTTTTGATTCGACCATATCTTTGTATTGATTAGTTTATGTTTAAAATTAGTTTATTAATTGACCCTATCTATTTATAGTTAATTAATTAAAGACCACGTAATTATTTTTAAAAGGCTGACAAATAAATAAATTCTTTAAAACGTAATTAAAGCAAATGCTTTCTACTTAATACTCTCTTTACTTTAATATTGACTTTCATGTATTAACAAATGAGTCATATTTTGCATATAAACGGTTCAAGAAGAGCTTTTAGAGTCAAACAAGATTATTCTAGATAATATAGTAATATAATTAAAGAAAGGATAAATGGCAGTGAAAAATGCAAATAAATTTTTCAAAAGGCGTAGATTAAGAGAAATGACGTCTCATATCAGTATAGTAATCGTCATATAGAATCTGATATAGAATGCTTAAGACCTAAGTTAAATACTAAATTAGATAATACCTAACATGCTCCAGTAATTGGAATTTATCTTACTTGGGGTTTTGGGGTTTTGGGGTTTTGGGG